CGAGGCATAAAATCAGAAAATTTCGCTTCACTAGAACCTTGGAAGATATTTCACAATGGTACATGCACGTTGTTAGGTCTTTTTCTATATAAAACATGTATCATATCGATAATGTTAAGTAGAAGCATAATATATTTATTTATTTTGGTTTAAGTTCCTAAACCGATGATGGTCGGCGTCAAGGAGGCGCTAAACTCAATTATATCAGCTCGATTTTAGATGCATCTCTTACATAAAAGATATAGAAATGACTGAATGTTGTCAACTGCGAAGGATGCATTAGTAAATGTTGACAGGTCTTTCATAATGCAATAAAATTTATTGACAAGCAACCCATCGACTAAACTCTTTCTAGAGCGATATGAGGTCTCTCTTGGTAAAGTAGTTTTCCTATTATTCAAACGGCTCTACACGAATTTCAACCCCGAGGATTGATGCTAAAATGGCCTCTAAAACTCTTTATTCAGTTATCACTCCTAACAATCTGCTAAAAAGGCCATAATCATGTATTTCTCTCCTTAAGAAATCGCGCCTGTCTTTAAAGTTCGTCAAATCTTTGAAATAAAGGCCACAGAGAGAATTGTGCATCACAATTTCTACTTCCCTTTGATTTATCACCTAATTCTTCCCCGACCAATAAAAAACGGTATTTTTCTCCTTTTACTCCATATTAAAAAAGATCACCATCACGACTGGGCATGTTTTGATTATTTGTCATTTAGTTTACACCACATTCCAGCCATAGGCTAACCTAAACAATCTTTCTAATAACAATAATTCCAGAGCCTATTCCATATTAGCGATATGCAAACAAACTCTTGATTCAAATATCAAATTACAAGGAGTACTGATGAATCAGTGTTCATTAAGTTACAGGTTCTCCGCCATTGTTACTTCGCTCCTGCGTCTTGTTGAGTCTAGTCTCTTTGACGAGATCATCCGAATTCCTGAGACCACGTTCTCAGAGCTGGGCACTCTATCGCAAGTTATAGATGTCAGTTCAAATGTTTCGCGACGAACACTTAGCCTCTTTCCAGTTTTCCTAACGTTCGTACTTAAGATAGACTTGGTGAGAACTCTCTTAAGATTGCGTCGATAATTTTCCACGAAGCCAAAGTATACAAACGGATTGATAGCGGCGTTGGCGATCACAAGGAACTCGGCAGTGAATGCAAAAGCAGGAGGAGTGCACCACGCATTTTGAGATTTCCTGAAAAATGTCAAAAGAAGCAGATTGATATTGAGAGGAGCCCAACAAATGGCAAATATCACAACAATTGTCACAGCCATTTTCAGTACATTTCTGTTCATTTTGTCTCGTATAATTCCTCCACGAACTGCATCTCGCAAGTGGTTCCTTTGCCTGATCAGAATCGACACTATAACTGTGTATATGCCAGCTAAAAGACTAAACGGAATTAAAATCACTGAAATACAAAGAAAGGTGATGTAGAATTTCCCAGTCGAGGGCTCTTCAAAAGCAGGCTCCCAGGATGCAATGCAG